ATAAAAAAAAATTACATCAAACCTAAATTTTATAAATAAAAAATTAAACTGCTTGAAATTTTGAAGATTTATTGTTGCCACAATTTTATATATTTTTTTAATTGTTGCATTTAAAATGTAGACAATATATTTAGTCAATTTAATTTATTTATCCGCAAACGTTAAAAAATTTCGCTTTTATGACTAAAACACAGAGAAAAGTTTTACATTTCAGACATGGAGTAAAAACACTTTTTTTCGCCTAAGCGTTTTTCACTTTTACCTGACATTTACAATAACATTTATCAATGTACCTAGCCTCTTTTTTTGTCTTTTTTCGCTGCTTCAGCATTTTTTGGGAAGGTGCCTACACTTTCGAAAATCTCAACACAAATTCTGACGCGTGACGTTTGTTATGATTTCATCGCAAAACGTCCTGATTATTTTGACAATTATTGTGTAGCTCTTTTTCCTCCATTTGAATTGTTTGCGGATAAAATAGTATGTTATTTGGAGTAAAAATGAGTTTATGATCGGCTGAATCATAAAAAATAAATTAAACTTTCAACTTCGCCACATAAACTATCACTTTTACTCCTAATAACATAATATGGTATTATTTATTATTAATAACAACAGTTATAAATTAAACTTAGTCAATGACAATCTGAATCTGTTATCATGTCTGTAACAATGTCTATAAATTTAAAATCGCAGAAAAGATATTGAGGTCAAAATCAATTTATATTTTGTGAGTGCTAAATAATATTCTTTCTTGCACAATGCCTTTTTTATTATATTTTTCACTTATATGGTTAAGTATTTCTCACACAGTAAGTTTTGATTTTAATAGAAAGCAGAAAATTAAAGGGTTTTAATTACAGCACACTCTTTCTTTTGTCAGAAGCAAACCAGGTAGTTAAATTAATAATTAAATAAATGTTCCTCAATCAAAAAATATTTTCAGAAAGTCGTATCATTGGCGGTAAAGTTGCGTTTGCAGGACAATTTCCTTACATGGCAGCAATTTACAAACATACCAACAACGGTAACTTTTTCTGTGGAGGTGCCCTTGTCAGTAATCAATGGATATTAACAGCAGGATCTTGTGTCAATGGGTAAATTAGTACAAATACTTAAAACCAGTTTAACTTTTTTAATATTTATTCAAGTGCCCAATTATTTACAATTTATTTAGGAACAACTAATTTAAAAGATGTCGATAACCCCAACAGTCTTAAATTAGCCACAGATGAATATGTCTTACGTCCAGATTATAATCCAAATACTTTTGAAAACGACGTAGGACTCATAAAGCTTAGATTGCCTATTACTTTTACAGGTAAAAAAATCCTGATTCAATTTAGAAGTTTAAATTTTAAATAAAAATTGTTTCAGTATATATAAGGCCGTTTAACTATCTACCAACCTTTGACCTTTTACCTGGTACACCTGGAGTGGTGGCCATGGGTTGGGGACAAACCAGTGATGGTAAGTTCTACATAATGATTTCTGGATTTTACCCAAAAATTTATAGATGATTCTAGTCTTGTTGATGAGCTCCGTTTCGTTTATTTGACTCCTTTATCCAACGATGAATGCAAATTAGTTTACGGAAACCAAATCAAAGACGAGATGGTTTGTGCTGCCGGCAATAATGACGAAGGATTTTGCTTGGTTAAGAATTTTGTGGTGTGTTTTTCTTTTATAATTTTTGTTTATAGGGCGACAGTGGAACACCCTTAATACGAATCAGGCAAGGTCCAACTGCAACTCATGTAGGAATTGCCAGCTTTCTTAGCAAAAATGGTTGCGAAAGCACTGATCCTTCAGGATATACAAGAACTTTGGAATATGCTGATTGGATAAGAAACGTCACGGGGGTTGATAAATAAAACAAATTTTGATGTAGTTTTCTGCAATAGAAATGTAATAGGAAAAAGTAAATTTTTACACTAGTTCAAACAAGTCCATTTGAATAATAAATTATTTGTTCAAACTGTTATCAATTTTTTTTTATTTTCCACTCCTTCAACATAGAAATTGAGAAAATCTTAAAATTTCAACTAAATATACTTACTTGTGTCTAGAAGGATGCTTATGAAGGTCTCCAACAGTTAAAGAAATGAAAACAAGTATTACAAATAAAGCCTTGCCAACAAAAGACATTTTGCTGTGTGTTTGAAGAAAAACTTTACTTAAATGTGGTTTTTATATAAAAATATATAACGAAAACACCAGTAGCATTTACGTTTATCAATAATTGCCTATTTCTAAAAGTATTGTAATGTAATTACACCGTAAATTATCTACTTGTAGAAAACAATTAGAAACCTAAATTATGTTCATAGAGACCTTCACAAATATCAAAACCAATTGCTATTAATCATTAGGTATTTTTAAATCTAATTAAATCAAAAATATGTACCAAGGTTTCACTATATTGATTAAACATAAATTATTTGAAATCTCTTTTACGTATATGTGATAAAAAAAATTCTTGTCTGTAAACACTTGTCTTATTTACGGCTTAGATTAATCTCATTACCTAAATCCTAATTTCCTGCAATTAATTAAAACCAAGCGATCTTAACTTGTTGCATAAAATCTTGTGAGGATCAATGATAAGACCGATAAGACACTCAAAACTGAGAAAAATGAATATAACAAAAATCCAAGGCGAAATTCGTCACTCTTGTCAAAATGATGAAATTCGTAGCTCTCGTCCTTTGCATCTCTGCAGTTTGGGTGGAATCAATCCGTGTTTCACCCGGAAAAGGTAACAAAGACACAAAAATGCAATTTCATTTTATGTATTATTTTCAGTACGCATAATTGGTGGTCATACTGCTAAAGCCGGTCAGTTTCCTTTCGCTGCAGCCATTTACAAAAGTACAGCTACTGGTACTTATTTCTGCAGTGGAGCTTTGATTAATTCTCAATGGGTTTTAACAGCTGGACAATGTGTCGTAGGGTAATTTGCAATTTTTGAGTTAATTGTTTCGTATTAAAATTATTATTTAAGAGCCCATTTGTTCACTATTCGTCTAGGATCAAACAGTTTGAGTGCAAACGATCCAAATGCAGTGAGGTTGGCAACAGATCTCTACTTCTTACATCCTGAATACAATGCAACAAATATGGCGAACGATATCGGGCTTATCAAGTTCCGCTTACCTGTCGCACTATCAGGTATTACACCCAAAATTAAAAAAAAAGCATTTAAAAATAAAAATTTTAGATTACATTAAACCTATCAGTATGTTGGCGTCTGCTACTCTTCCCGATGCCTCCCCTGTCATAACTTTCGGTTGGGGACAAATTAACGACGGTAATTTTTTCACTTTAATAGCCATTTTGCCATTTTTTTTTTTTTTTTAGAAAATGCCGGGCTTGTCGACGAACTCAACTATGTTTATTTGACAACACTCAGTAACGAAGAATGTCAACTCACTTATGGAAGTCAAGTTACAGACCAAAATGTTTGTGTCAGTGGAAATTATAATGAAGGTACTTGCAAGGTAAGTCTCCGTTTTTCTCAAATCTTTATTTTTTTAAACTATTATTTTAGGGTGATCTTGGCAGTCCTCTCTTTCAATACGGTGGCTCTTCGTTGATATACCACGTGGGTGTTTCAAGTTTCTTAAGTTCCAATGGATGCGAAAGCACTGATCCTTCTGGATTTACAAGAACTAGTCCATACGTCAACTGGATCAATAATGTTACAAACTCTAATTAAAATATTTCTAATTGAATAAATGTTTAAACATAAAGCAGTTTTTTTTATTTGGTGTAAAATAAATAAATAAATTTTAGTTTATGCAAATCGAACAAGACGATAATACAAAATAATACAAACGTTAGAAAGGATTAGAACAAAAAATATTAACAAAATAAAACAATCAAATCTCCACATAATCTCAATTATCTTGTATAAGTACGATAACATAATTGTTCAAATGTGCAAGTATAAACTTTAAACATATAGAAAGATGATAAAATATAGTGTGTTGATTTTTATAGTCTTGGTGACTTTTGCCAAAGCAAAGCCAGGTAGTATAAATACCAATCAAATTGTTACTAAATTCCAAAAATCAGGTGTTCGTATTATTGGTGGCAAGACTGCCAATGCCGGTCAGTTTCCTTTTGCAGCAGCAATCACCAAAAGTACAAATACTGGTACTTATTTCTGCGCCGGGAGCCTATTTAAAACAAAATGGGTCATAACATCAGGTCAATGCGTTGATCAGTAAGTTTTTAAAAAAGTTTTCGTTTTATTTTGTTAATTTTTTATTGTAGAGCCAAGTTGTTTACAATTCGGATTGGATCAAACAGTTTGAGTAGTAATGAAGCTGAGAGATTGTCCACTGATATTTACTACTTGCATCCGGAATTTAACAGGACCACAATGGAAAACGATATCGGTGTGATTCAGTTTCGCCTGCCTATCACATACACTGGTAAGCAAAAATGACACAAAAGAAAAATAAAGTTCACGATTTTTACTAGATTACATCAAACCTATAAGCTTACTGTCAAAAGTAAAAATCCCCGATTACACGTCTGTTGTAACATTAGGTTGGGGCCAAACTAGTGATGGTAAGAACATTTTAGCCAGCTTTGAGTAGCTAAAACATTTTTTTTTAGAAACATCTGGATTAGTTGATGAACTCAATTATGTCTATTTAACGACATTGAGTAATGAAGAATGCAAACTAACTTATGGAAGTCGAATTACTGATAATATGGTGTGTGCAGAAGGAAATTACAATGAGGGTACTTGTAAGGTGTGTTTTGATAATATGTTTTAGCACCTGTATTACTGAAACACTTTTAGGGTGATTTGGGAAGTCCAATGATACTCTATGGTGGAGCTTTGACTTATCTTGTTGGAGTTTCAAGCTTTATAAGTTCAAATGGTTGTGAAAGCACCGATCCCTCAGGATTTACAAGGATTGTTCCTTACGCGTCTTGGATTTCTAACATAACAAACTCTAATTGATGTATTTGTAAACTACATGTTCTGAAATAAATAAATTAAAAGTCAAATAGACTCTTATTTAGCATACAAGTATTATTAATAATTTGGCTAGTTAAAAACAGCAATATTTATAATTCAAGATGCATTCTTATATTGTACCACATTTATAAAAGTAGTTATTAAAAAACACTCTTTTTGAAATTATTTCATGGTTTTTGAATATATCTTGAAAGCACTATTGACAAAAAAAAACCGTTGGTTAATTTTTATGTTTAGCAAAATAAAAAATACATCTCTGCTCATAATTACTAGACTTCAAGAAATGTAGTAATAATATAATAATATGTATCTCGAGAATAAACAACAATTTTAATCCCGAAAATGTAAGCAAAAAAACATTTATTTATTATTTTATTAATTTGGCCTAAAGAGATATAACAAAACAAATCATCTCATGACAAGTAATGGAATTTTTTTTGATAATCGTGATAAAACACAAAAGCACCACAGTTTGTTGCTAGGACCATTTGATTTTATATTCAGATACATGATAAAATACAGTGTCCTTATTTTGTTACATCAAGTCCAGGGAAAATAAATTGTTTATCATAACATAAGTAAATTTAAGATAGTCGCATTATCGGCGGTAATGTTGCCAAAGCGGGTCAGTTTCCATTTGCCATGGGTGCGAAAGTACTGACCCTTCGGGATTTACGAAAGTTGGCCCATATAAAAATTGGATTTCAAATGTTACAAATTCGAATTACCTAATAAAAAACAATAAAACATTAAGAAATATAATTTTCTATTTAAATTAACTTTAAGTGACCAAACAAAATCAAATAAAAGGCACAGTTTGTAAATAAACAGGTGCAGTATATTAAAAAAAATATGTTTTTAGATTTCGTTTTATTAATTTTTTGTTGGTTCAGATTTAATTTAGAAAAAAAAACATAGTAATGAATAGTTTTTTATTTATATTTTTTTTACAATGTTTTATCTAAATCCCTGTAACATTTTTAATCCAGTCAAGGTACGGGAAGGTCCTAAAATACCCAGAGGGATCAGTGCTTTCGCAGCCTTTTCCGCTGATAAAACTCGAGACTCCGACCACTGTTGCAAGATGTCCACTAACATACTGAATCAAGGGACCTCCAGTATCACCCTAAAAATAACCCTTAAACTTTAAATAACAATAATAATTGTCTTTTATACCAAGCATGTTCCTTGATTATAATTTCCATCGACGCACACCATGTTGCTATTTATTTGACTACCGAAAGCAAGTTTGCATTCTTCATTTGACAATGCTGTTAGAACGACAGCTTGAAGGTCATTGGTAAGTCCGGCATGATCTAAAATCATTTTTTCTCTTTTTGGAAATTTAAAAATTCTGTGTTACCATCACTAGTTTGTCCCCAACCAATTGCTGTAATGACAGCATAGGGTTGCACATCTCTGGTGGGAAGCGAAACTGCGTTAACGTAATCTAAACAAAACAAAAATAAAACAATTTCACAAAGAGTACATATACGAGTGTACCATTAAAGGGGACTGGTAGTCGAAGTTTAATGAGGCCAATGTCGTTATCTCGAGGATTTGTGCTGTAACTCGGATGCAACACAAAAGAATCAGTTGTAAGTTTTACAGAACTAGAGGAATCGAGAGCATTTGCTCCTACACGAATTGAAAATAACACACCCCTGAAAAGTAATTACAATTTTTTTAATATAGGTGTGGTAATTTACCCGTCAATACAGCTCCCGCTAGTTAAAACCCATTGGTTACTCAGGAGAGCCCCCGCACAAAAATAGGTCCCAGTCGAAGTTTGAACATAAATTGCTGCTGCAAAAGGAAATTCACCAGCGTTCGCATTGTGTCCCCCAATGATACGTAAGCCTGAAATAATAGATATGTAACCAAAAATTTCCTTAAATTTAATTACTTGGCGAGGCGAAAGACGAGGTTAGCAGAACAGCAAAAATAAAAACCTTCATTTTGTTACTAGAGTAACTTTTCTTTAACTTTATTGAATTTATATTAAGACCAAATTTTCATCTTCATTATCGATTTAATCTAATCTAATTCATTTATTATTTTAAATCTCTTGGCAGGTAACGGAAATTATGAAATTTTTAATACTCGGTCCACTTGATATTCGATTTGATTAACCATAAAATATACCACTGACAAGGTAAAACTCGATATCATTGAAAAAATTATGTCATACTCTAAAATAGTCTAAATTATAGATAACTCATAAAAACCATCAGTGATAAATAAAGTAAGTATTAAATTAATGCTTCAATGGAGTTGAAATAAATAATAAATTTTTATTTAGAGGATTAATTTCGAGACAGATGCAATAATACTTCCACTTCATATAAGTTTATTTTATTTGTCGTCTACATAAAATACCGGGTTAAAATGTCATAAATTTTTATGATGTTTTTAGGACAACATATTTTTTTTTACTATATAAATGTAATTAATAAATATAGCCAACTTACAATGAAATTTACCATTTTATATCGGCAAGTACAAAAGTGAATAAAAAAATCGTTGGGTAACAAAACATGTGTAGACGTTAATAAAAGTCCTAAAACTTTAGGACTTAGTTTCATTTTTTTTATTCATTTAGATGTTTAAAATCAATACACTGGTAAATATAAAATAATGCGAGTTGTTTATTATTTGTTTTGTATAAAACAAGAGTTCAGCTTCAAAATGAAATACGGTAGTAACTTATTATCATTTTATTGACAAACATTTTATTTAAAACCGGTTATATTTTTGATCCATTTTACATAATCGTACGTTCTGGTGTATCCCGATGGATCAGTACTTTCGCATCCGTTTTGGCTAAAGAAACTTGCAACACCAACGTGCATAACTTGATTCCGACTCACATATTGAATCAATGGTCCTCCAGTATCGCCCTTAATTGTTAAATCAAAATGAACTAAAACTTAATTAAATTATAGTCTACTTACATAGCAAATTCCTTCATTATAATTTCCTTCGGCACATGCCATAGTATCAAGAATTTGGTTACCATAAACCAGTTTACACTCATTATTCGAAATGGTTGTTACAGACACATAATAAACCTCATTTTGAAGACCAGAGTCATCTTGAATTAAAAAATGTGAGAGAATATGAGTCATGGAGGAGGCTTACCATCACTAATCTGTCCCCATCCCGTCGTCAAAAGTGAAGAATAATCAGAAAGCGGAGCTCCTGGCAACAGATGTATAGGATACACATAAGCTAAAATTTAAAATTGAACCTAAAAATTTTTGAAATTTCCAATCTTACTGGAATACGTAATAGCCATGCGGAATTTAATCAAACCAATATCATTTTTCAGAGTCATTGGGTCATATTCAGGATGCAAAACAAATGTGTCTGTTGAAAGTTTGATAAGATTTGGGTCGTTACCATCCAAAGTATTGGATCCCAAATGAACAGTAAACAAAACAGCTCTAAGCAAAAAATAAAAATTTTGCATTTCATTTCGATTTTATTACCCATCGACGCAATGACCAGCGGTCAATACCCATTCTGGGGTCAGAAGGGCTCCACCACAGAAGTAACTTCCATCATTTGTATGGGTATAAATAGCTGCTAGGAAAGGGAATTGGCCAGCGTATGCCTTTCGGCCTCCAATTATTCTACCTCCTAAAAATGCAATTCTGCGTTTACATCTATTTTAATATTTTTATTCTACCTATTTGAACAGATTTTTTCTGAAAATTGTAAACAAATTAGTTACAAAAACGTCAGGCAAAACTTGAAAGTACAACCTCTTGTAGGGGAACTCCCAGTGCAAAAGTTGCACAAAAAAGAATTGCAAAGTAAAGCATTTTGACGCACAACTTCATGGTCTAATACTTCCTAGAGTTTATAACTAATTTGTTATCTTTTTATCGTGATAAGTGTTTAATAAAACGCATTTTTCAAGACATATCTTTTTTGTTAAAAATATATTTTAATGACTAATATCTAGCAACCTAAAGAACTGTAAAATACTACTGCAAACAATAATTCATTTAAAATAAATGAAATTAAATAAATTGAGTCCATATTTCGCTAGTTGTAGTTTTATTTGTTTTCGTTGGTAAATATTCCACCGCAAAATGATAAGATAAAATACAATTTCTCAAAGACATAGAAGCCAAGCATTAGTAACAATCAAACTGTTATCGATAAACAATGAGATTATTTATATTTGTGGTATTGTGTGTTGCCCAAATTTGGTGCAAAACTTTAAAGGTATTGAATTTTTTCGTTTATTTTTAAAAAATAAGCTTTTTTATCAACTTTCAGAAGCAGCCAAGTCCAGTTTTAAACACTAAAAGTAACATAATGTAAGAATGTAAGAAAAAACCACCAAAAAATGATATTTTTTTAGATGTTCGCATTATCGGTGGAAATAAAGCTGTCGATACTGAATTTCCGTTCATGGCAGCTATTTGGACCACCACTTCTCTTGGTAGATACTTTTGTGGTGGAGCAATTATTGATAAAGAATGGATTTTGACAGCTGCAGATTGCGTTGATGAGTAAGAGTTTCAACTAAATTTTTGTAAAAAAAAATATTGAAACATTCTAGTGCCAAATCTTTTAAAATTCAGTTAGGCTCAGTTAGTTTATCAACATCTGATAAACACAGAGTTAATGTGAATGCAACCGACTTTGTCATTCATCCAGATTTTAATTCAACAACGTTACAAAACAACATTGCTTTAATTAAGCTTCCAGATGCTTTAAAATTTAATGGTAAATGAAAAAATCGCTTGGATCGAAATTCTAAATGATTTGTAGATTATCTCAATGCAATAGCACTACCAAGTACTGCACTTGAAGACAGTACAGATGCAATAAGTTTGGGATGGGGCCAAACTGATGATGGTACGAATTTTGAAAGAAATTTTCAAATCAATTGATTTTTTTTAGAACATTCAGGACCTGTTGATGTGCTACAAAAAGTGACTGTTGTCACTTTAACTAATGAGCACTGCAAATACACTTACGGTAATCAAATTACAGACAATATGGTTTGTGCTTTAGGTGCATTTAATGAAGGCACTTGCATTGCAAGTTTAACAAAATATTAATTATCAATTTTCATAACAAATATTTTAGGGTGATATTGGTGGTCCTTTAGTTCAACCAAATGGAACTTTTATTCATGTTGGAGTTGCAAGTTTTCTGAGCTTTAATGGATGTGAAAGTATAGATCCTTCTGGATACGAAAGAACGTTTAATTCTCTTGAATGGATTAAAAATGTTACCAAAATATCATAATCTGTTTTGAGAGTAAAAATGATAATAAAACTGTTAATGCCACATTTGTTTTTGTTTTTAGAAATTACAAAATTTTCCACGTAATTCCAAATAAATTTATTGTTATCTAATAGCGGTAATAACAATAACATAAAAAGTAGCTTAATCCAGTAATCTTAGTCATTTACTGTTAGTAATGATGGATTGCTACTACATAATAAAATTTTTATAGATAATACTCGTAAATTAAATAAAAAAATCTACGTTTTATATATAAAAAATAAATAATAATTATATACCAGGTGAATAAAAAGTATGGAACCAAACGTTTTTTGCTTAAACTATTTATTTTTTTTAAAAACTAATTGATGAGTGATAAAGTACTATAAAAATGTGATGTTTTAACAAGAATAAAATTTTTCAAAATTTCCTTTTGTTTATGAGTTCTACAAAAAAAAAAAAATTAAATGGCAACCCATTATAAAATCATTTTTCTCATAAAAGCTATACTCTAAGGATTACAACTATATGCTTTATATTTAATTTTTAAAAAAAATTTTTTTACATAAATTGCAATTTTGACAAAAAAAATCGCATAACTCAAAAACAAAACAAAACTTCGTTCTGAAAATACGATCACATTTTTTATATGATTTTAATTTATATTAATTATTATTTTCTGGAGGCAAATGATTAAAAATAAAACCACTTGGTTCCATACTTTATATTCACCCTGTATGTATAAATAACCTTTCAACTTCCCATTCTGTCCTGTTTCACAAGTACAACTCTCTTCATATAGAACTGATGGAAAAGAGCTTTTGAAACTTGTTATTAATTAAAACCAACATTTCAAAATTTCAAAAATTTGCTTAAGCCAACCTTAATTTACCAGATTTATAAACTCTTAACATAAAAATTATTATCTTATAAGATTACAATTCCGTGAACTTCAATCTCCAATAAGTATTATATCCTGTGATGTCTGTAATATTAAAACAAATAAAATTGAAGTGCAATAAAACTCTCAGCTTTGCCTATCTTCAAAAAATATCTTATACATAATATCAAGATGTAAAAATATTTCAAGTAGATACTTGAATTTTTTGTAAATGGTTCAAAAGTGTTTGGTTTATGTCACAGGAAACCATAACAATGTTTGTTAATCCAATACTTAAAAAAGTACGTTTTTATAAGTCGATAAGATAAAAGAAAACGTAAATTACGATTAACACTATATAAAGACAAACAAAAAAATTTTAATCTCAATAGGTCAACATGAAGATTTCGGCTGCAATTTCCTTGGGATTTCTCTTAGCGGTAACTAAATTAAAATAACAAAAACAACATTAGCAAAATGTTTATTTTTAGGTGGTTGGTCCTACCACGCAAAAACACATCGGTAAATTGAAAAAAAAATTAAATTTCCAGTTTGTTAATTTTCTTATTTAGCACCACGTATCATTGGAGGCGACGAAGCAAAAGCCGGTCAATTTCCATACGCCGCAGCCATTTACATCAAAAAAGAACTTAGCACCACTTTCTGTGGAGGAGCTCTTCTTAGTAAATTATGGGTTTTAACTGCTGGTCATTGCGTCGATGGGTAAAATGCTTTTAATTTTATTAAAAAAAAATTATTGCTTCTCGTGTTTAGAGCTATTTCAACCATTGTTTATTTGGGTTCTACTACTTTGCAAGATCATGACCCTAACAGAATCATGTTGACCACAGACAATCACGTAATTCATCCATTGTACAACAGAACCACGTTGGAACACGATATTGGACTAATCTTATTCAGAATGCCTATAACATTCTCTGGCAAGTTGTGCAAAATCATTAGAAAAACTCAGTTGATTGTGTCTTTTTTTCAGACTACATCATGCCTACTAGCTTCTTCCCCGTTGCCGATCTTCCTGGATCAGCTCCTGTTACAACCTTTGGATGGGGCCAAATCGATGATGGTAATTTTCGATTCACAACACGCACATTATTAACTAAAATGTTTATTCTTAGAACACGCTGGCATCACAAATAACTTGCGATATGTTAGATTGAGCACATTGACTAACGACGAATGCAAACTAGTTTATGGTTCCAGAATTACAAGTAACATGGTTTGCGTATCTGGAAATTATAATGAGGGTATTTGTAGGGTGGGTTAAACCAACATTTCTCCGTTAGATTGAAATAATTTTTTAAATTTAATCTTAAAGGGTGACAGTGGAAGTCCTTTGATTCAAACTGTTGGTGGTGGTCATACCCTCATTGTCGGTGTTGGAAGTTTCTTAAGCGAAAACGGATGTGAATCTACGGATCCTTCTGGATTTACAAGAGTGTTCCCATATAGAGACTGGATCAAAAATGTTACTAGCATTGTATAAAAATGTAGATAAGATCTAAAACATGAGATTAATAAAATTATACAAAGATATGTTTTCTGAATAAAACTCAACATAAATTATTTGAGATCTAAAAATTTCTTGATTTTTTAAATGTGTCTAAAAACGATACAGTTTTATCTTTAAAAGTAGTAATCAAACTGGAACAAGGTACTAATACAGTTATTACAAAACTCTCTATTTTGTTTGTTCTTTATTTTCTCTACTTTTTCTATTTTCACTGCCTACTCTTTCAATTAATATTTCTTATTGTTCTTTCTTTAATATAAATTAAATTTATATAATTCAAATTTCTTTTCATTTATATAAACTACATACTAAACTGAAGCAATCATTTTATTGACAATTTTTTTTAATTTTTAGTTATTCTTTGTAGTATTATTAATCCAGTCATTATAGAGGTAGGTTCTTGTGTAGCCCGATGGTTCTGGGGTTTCACATCCGTTAAAACTTACAAAACTTGATATTCCCACATGTTCTGTTACACCTCGAGGGTGTAAAAGTATTAAGGGACTTCCAGTATCGCCCTAAAACAAGAGAATAAAGAAAGATAACAAAACATACATTTTAACAAGCACGTGACAGGCTCCTTCGTTATATTGTCCATCAACACAAACCATAGATTCTTTAATTTGATTTCCGAAGATTACTTTACACTCTTCATTGGGTAAAGTAGTTACTAAAGCCATTTTCAGATCATCTGACAAAGTTCCATTGTCTTACAAAAAATTGATAAACAAAAAATAAAAATTTAAAAAGTTATACCATCACTAGTTTGTCCCCAACCCATCACATAGACATGTGTGTTATCCCAAAGCTTACTCAAAGCCAAATAATTAACTGATTTAATGTAGCCTTAATTGTCCAAATATACAAAAAAGCAAAATCAATTTAAGAAAAAATACATTAAAAATTATGTTACTAGTATGTGTAACAGGCATTCGAAGCTTTATAAGTCCAATATCATTCTCCAAAGTTTCTGTATTAAATTCAGGATGTAAGAAAAAAGTTGATGTTGAAAAAGTTACCCGGTTCTCGTCCGGTTCAGTCAAACTTATTGCTCCTAATCGAATTGTAAAAAGAGTGGCACTATAATTTGGCTAATAAATAACTCTTTCGTTGCTAATTAACTGCACAAACTTGCCCATTTACGCATTGACCAGCTGTGATAATCCACTGGTTTCCATACAATGCTCCTCCACAAAACCAGTTATAACCAGAACCTTCAACATTGATTGCTGCAACAAATGGAACTTGGCTAATATGTGCTGTATGTCCCCCAATAATTCGAGTATTTTGATTATTTCGGTTCACAACCGCCTAAAAATCACAAAATCGTAATACAAAACACGAGTATTTTTAAATATCACCTCTTGAAGCGACGGAGATATAAGAACGAAAACCAAAATATAGAAAGAGAACATTCCGACAAATTTTCTGCTGTTAGTAAGTAATAAATAATTTTTTATTGGTTTATGAGCGCAGTTAATCGTACTTACCATCAGTAATTCACTTGGAAAATTACAGAAAGTTTTTTCAAGTTGTTTGTTCACACTTATCTTCAAAAAGCTTTAAAATTAATTTAGGTAATTTTGTTTAAAAGATTTATCTTTTATGAGACTAACTAATACTCTTACAATTTGTCATCTAGGCAGAGGGCTTAATTTTTGATAAATCGAGTAAGAAAAAAGAACATTTTTAAATAACAAACGAATTATGTGTTGCACAATTTATTTTCCAGCCTCAGTTATTTTGTGTAACATTTTTAATCCAGTTAACGTAAGGATATGTCCTCGTGTACCCCGAAGGATCAGTGCTTTCACAACCATTTCCACTGATAAAACTAGCAACACCAACATGAACAAACACACTTTGACCAAATACTTCAATCAAGGGGCTTCCAGTATCACCCTTTAAAAAAAACTAACTTAATAATAATTAGATTTCTTAAAACTTACATGGCAGCTTCCTTCATTATAATTTCCTTCAATGCACACCATATTGTCAGTTATTTGGTTTCCGTAAACAAGTGTGCATTCTTCATTAGATAATGATGTTACAAACACGTATCGCAATAGATTTGATAAAGAAGAATCATCTGGAAACACAAATTATTAGGCACTTTCATTTCTTTTAGTGCCACCTACTGTCACTAGTTTGGCCCCAACCAAGTGCTCGAGCATATACCCCATCTCCTAGAGGGTACAAAGCTGTAGAACTTATAGATTGAATTGCATCTACAACAGATTAGTAAATTTTTTATAATTAATATTTAACCTACCAGAATACTGAATTGCCATTCTTAACTTAATCAAACCGATATCATTGTCAAGAGTTGTAGAATTAAAATCAGGATGAAGAAAATATTCAGAAGTTGCTACAGTTAAACGAGAAGGATCATCTCCCGTTAGACTAACCGATCCCAAATTAATTGTGAAAAGAATAGCTCTTAAAAATTCAAAAAATTCAAATTTACTCAAATTGTTAGTAAAAAATGTACCCATTAACACATTGTCCAGCTGTAATTATCCACTCTTGAGTATAAAGAGTTCCTCCACAGAAGAATTTACTGTTTGTAGTTTGAACATCAATAGCAGCTGCAAATGGAAATTGGCCACTGTGAGCTGTATGTCCTCCTATAATGCGTGGAGAAATGCGTGCAAAACTTTCCTAAAAAAACATTGAAATACACATTTATTTGACAAATGGTTTACCTGAAATGTGGAAAAATACAAAATAAACAAAAAATATAAAGGAAATAACTTCATGTTGATGATTTGGTTTATTTCCTGTTGAGCTACTGATATCGTAATGCTGGCTTTATTTATCTGATCACTACGTTTTATTTATTTTTTTAACTTTTATTATTATTGATGTTGTAATAAAACTGACTGCAAAATAGCATCGAAGTGTACCTAATCATCAATTAAATTTTAATCATACTAATATTTTTTTCAACCCCCAGAAAAGGTAATAAACATGAAAAGTCGTATTCTTCTAATTAAAAATATTTTACTATACAGAGTGTTCCTCTAAGCCGCACATTAGAAGTATTGGAAGTTCGAAAAATCGTATTTATTTGAAAATTGGTATATAGCCATAAACCATTAAGTTCTCATAAATGAAGATATTTTCAAGATGGCGACACTTCCGGTTATACCGGAAGTCGGTCTAAACTTTCTTATTTTAAATGGAAAGGTACATTTTTTACTGCGTTTTTGGATTAATCGGGTTATTTTAAGGGGGTTTTCATCAGCTTTTGCTATACCTAAATTTAGCCGCTTTTGAAATATTTATTAGAGTTATTCAAAAAATTTTGGATCTACACCTTACACTTTAAAAATCGGTAACTCTGCTATTTTTTTAAATTGTGAATTCGTTATTTTGGCGTTTGAAAGAAATAGTTTAGATCTTTCTTCCGATGTTTCCACATTTTGAAAAAAAAAATTGACAAACCCTAAAATTTTAAGGTTAATTTTGCAATAATTCAAATACCCATTATTCAAATTTTCCAAATAAAATACCACAATTTTTATTTTACTAAATGGAAGAGAATTTAATTCTGCATCGATCTGTATTAACATTCCCTATACCTAGATTTAATAATTTTCAAGTTATGGTGAATTAGATTTAATTAATTTATTTTGTATTTATGGAGAGTGTGATGTCGTTCATTAAACAAAAATAAATTTTTCTCACTTGTTAGCTTTAAATAATGATTGCATGGTAGAACCTATCAATACTAATTAAGTTTGCATAACTTTGATTCTCCATATTTTGACACTATTGGTCAAATAGTAATTTACTGTTGATGTTTGTTTAGAGAAAATTTTGACGTTTTTTATTTCCATAGCAAACTATGTGAAAACGGGTGTAGCTAGTAATAAATTTTCTGTAGTCTTAACAAAAAGTCCATAACTTAAAAATTATTAAATTTAGGTATAGGGAATGTTAATACAGATCAATGCACAATTAAATTCTCTTCTAGTTAGTAAAACAAAATTTGGGGTATTTCATTTGAAAAAATTGAGTTATGAGTATTTGAATTATTACAAAAGTAACCTTAAAATTTTGGGATATGTTATTTTTTTTCAAAATTTGAAAACACCAGAAAAAGGATCTAAGCTTTCTCTTTCAAACGCCAAAAAAACAAATTCAAAATCTTAAAAAATGGCAGAGTTACCGATTTTTAAAGTGTAAGGTGCAGATCGAAAAATTTTTGAAAAACTCCAAATACTTCAAAAACGGATAAATGTAAGTAAGGGAAAGCTGATGAAAACTCCCTTAAAATAACCCGATTAATCCAAAAGCGCAGTAAAAAATATACCTTTCCATTTAAAATAAGAAAGTTGCGACCGACTTCCGGTATAAGCGGAAGTGCTGCCATGTTGAAAATATTTTTATTTAGGAGGACTTAATGGTTTATGGCTATGTACCAATTTTCAAATTAATATAATTATTCCAACTCCCAATACTTCTAAAGTGGGGTTTAGACGGAACAGCCTGTATATTATTGTGGGAAATTTTACTTTTAATAAGTGCAGCGATAGAAGTCTTTACTTTCAAGACCTTTAATTTTTTTATATTCACAATAATACAGACAACACAATACAGTATTTTTAGCAAAAATTTGAATGGTTATTTTGTTTTGAAGAGTCAACAAAATAATTAATTTGTGAAAGTATTTATTTATTTATTTATTTTTCATACACACATTAACTTTGAAATACTTGTACCCAATTAATGCAAATATGCCTAAATTGTTGTTACATTTTTAATCCAGTCAACATAATTGTATGTTCGTGTGTATCCCGATGGATCAGTACTCTCGCAGCCATTTCCACTGACAAAACTAGCAATTCCAACGTGGACGGTATAATAAATGTTAAAGATATCTATTAACGGACTTCCAGTGTCGCCCTACATATTTAAAAATAAAATAAAACCACTCCAAATTAAAAAAACCACACATGACACGCTCCCTCGTTGTAATTTCCTTCAACACACACCATATTGTCAGTAATTTGTGATCCGTATACCTCTTTGCAGTTATCATTTGTTATAGGAGCCACATATACGTACTGCAGCACATCAGAATATTGCGCACTTTCTGTTAGAAATATTTAAAAAATATCGTGATAAACAAAAAAGATATAATAACATACCATCACTAGTTTGCCCCCACCCAATTGCTCTTACTTTGTGGGCTTGAAGCAAAGGTTCAATAGCCAAGTAATTGATAGACTTGATAGAATCTAAAAAAATCTGCAAAATTAATTTTTTAACAAAGTTTCCTTCCACCTGTGAATGTGACAGGCATTCGTAGTTTTATCAAACCGATATCATTGTCTAAAGTTTGAGGATTGTAATCAGGGTGCAGAATGTATTCAGAAGCTGCCACCGTTTGGATGTTGGGGTCTGATCTGTTTGCTGAACCTAAATAAACTGTAAACAAAATTGCACTAAAAGGTAAACATGCATTTGAAGTAAAAACTCGTGGTAAAAAACAAACCCGTTGACGCATTGACCTGCAGTAAGAATAAATTGATTGGTGTAAAGAGAACCTCCACAAAAGTGTTTACTGCTGGAAGTGTGAACATCAATAGCTGCAGCAAAAGGGTATTGGTGAATGGTTGCAGGAAAACCTCCAATTATACGTGAACTAATATCTAAAACGTCACTTTCTAAAATTTGCTAATTTGACATCAGTTTGTTACCAGTTCTTGTCTAGAAAAAAGCAAGTCATTTTGAAATAATTAATGACAAACAACAATTTTACCATTTTGATTGATGTAAAGAGAATGAAGATTAAAATTAACTTCATTGTTACTTCAGTGAAGACGAGTCTGCAACAATAATCGAAAAGATTAAGTTTATAATTTATATACAAGTTTATTTTACGTTATAAATCATAATTTCTGATGACTCGTTACTATTTTATCTTTAAAAGGAAGCAATTAGAAATTTTTTCGAAAACGAATCCTAAAATTTATGGCCAAGTACTTTTTTTTTTTTTAATTTGGGATAAAATAAATTAGCAAAAACAGCAAGGAAATGTGTTTTATTTAAGAAACAAGTAAATACAAAAGTTTATCTTAAAAAAATGAAACAGACATAAACTCTAAAAATTGAACAGAACAAACCAAATAAAAAAGTGTATTGTGTGTTTAATTTTTGTTTATTTTAAAGAGCATACATTTCTCTTTAATAAAGTTAAAGCTGCAAGCCTGTTACATTTCTAATCCAGTCATTGTAAGGATAAGTTCTAGTAAATCCTGAAGGATCTGTGCTTTCGCAACCGTTAGAGCTGAAAAAGCTTGCGATACCAACCGGAATTGCATGACCAGTGCTGTAATACTGAATCAAAGAGCTGCCGATATCACCCTAAAGACATAAAAATAAAAAATTGGATCAAAGTAGTGATATAAAACTGACATAGCAAAGTCCTTCATTAAAATTTCCATCAACACAAACCATTTTCTCAGTAATTTGATTTCCGTAAGTAAGTTTACATTCAGTATTATGAATTGTGACCACATTGACCCATTGGAGATCGTTAGAAAGACCAGCATCCTCTAAAGAATAACAAATTCAATTTTTTTTTATTGTGGTCTAATTTATTTATACTAACCATCACTGGTTTGTCCCCAACCAAATGTTGATACTGTTACATAATCTGGTAATGCAGACAAGGGTAGACGATCAATGGGTCTAATATAGTCTACAAACTCAAATAAAATAATTGTCAATTTTTAAGCTTTTACTCTACCTGTAAAAGTAATAGGCATGCGAAGCTCAATAAGCCCAATATCATTCTGTAAAGTCATAGGATTATATTCAGGATGAAGAACAAAATTGGATGTAGCAACTTCAATTTGTCCAGGATCATTTGTTTTCAAACTAATTGATCCTAAGAATATTTGAAATAAAATCGCACTAAAAATTTAATAAAATGGAGGAGAAATAGTCATCATAAAAATACCCATCAACGCATTGACCAGCTGTCAAAATCCATTGATTTGAAAGAAGAGTTCCCGAACAAAAATGTTTAAGTGTGGGTGTTTGAACATAAATAGCAGCGGCATATGGAAATTGAAGGGTGTGAGCAGTCTGACCCCCAATTATACGAACTCCTAGAATTTATTTTATTCACATAATAAACATACAATCAAAATAATACCTTGATGTTCCTCAATTTGTGTAAACTAAAAAAAATGTTATTGAAATAATATTGCGTGCATTTTTACTTACTCTCTTTGAAGGAGTTGCATTTAATGCCGTTATGCCCAAAAACATTAAAAATAAAAGTTTCATTATGACGATTTTTACAAACTTTCAGTTAAAGTGATGCAAGAATTCTAAACATCTTGTATTTTTAAGAGTGGATTTACAAAGATTATAAAAGTAGATAATCATATTATCTCTCATGTAAGTGGTAAAAATACTCAATATTGGTCCTCTGCTATTGTTTCTGTCTAATGAAAAACCAAACATCCTCATGTGAATTTTGTTTATTATCAAGCTCTTAATAATAAGTCTTTCTTCTGATTGTAGATTAAATTTCTATAGTGAATGTCTCTCTAAATCACAAGCAATACTTTCTTGTTCTAATTTTTCTGTCGATTTATTTTTGATTGCAGTTTTTTGAAATTTTTTTTTTATTAAACTTTGTGATTTATGAAAAAATGGGGGCATTTATTATCGCATTGTTTAAGCAGGTACCTATAATCAGTTTTAAAGGATAAAAGATACATAGTAAGAGATTTTATCATTTTTATATACGATTGATTGTTGTAAGTCCGAAATTTTATTTAAAAAATAAACTAAGTAGCTTACAAAATACCACATAGTACTGATGATGATTAATGTTAAAATTGTCGTATGTTTCAAATCGAAATATAAAAAAGTGAATTACAGTAAATAAAGATTAATTGATTAAATATTTTAACAATCTAGTTAGACAGCAAGCTTTAATTAGTTAAATTATAGAAGAAATAAAATGATAAGATAACAACAAGTTTTTTGGTCAACTAACTGTCAGTAATTGCAAAAACATCGTAAATAATGAAAGTTAATTTCTTTCAATTTTTATACATTGTTTTGATGTATGGCTCCTTTGTTACTAACGCCACAATGAAACACCTAAGTATATTTAAAAAAGTTCAAAAGTTACGGTTAAATTAAATGTAAGAAAACTTTTTTAGTTCCTCGCATCATTGGTGGTTCAGATGCATATGCAGGTCAATTCTCATTTGCTGCTGCTATTAGCGTTCAAACTTCCGATAGCAAGTTTTTCTGTGGGGGAACATTGGTTACTAATCAGTGGATTTTAACTGCTGGGCATTGTGTTAACAAGTAAAGAAAGGTTTATTTATTAAATTGATTGTCATATTGTTATTTTAGTGCCAACCTATTTACTATTCAAGTAGGTTCAAATTTTCTGAAAGGTGAAGACCCAAATCGTGTTGTGGTTGCTACTTCAGATTATGTACTTCATCCAGAGTTTAACTCTGCAACTCTTGAAAATGATATTGGTTTGATCAAACTTCGGCTTCCATTAGAATTGACAAGTAATATGTCTCTTAAAATTATTTTAATATTTTTGGGCCTTTTCTAGATTATATTAGATCAGTTCAACATTTACCATCTGCTCCTTTGCAAGTTGGTATCAATGTTATGGCACTAGGATGGGGACAAGTGAGTGATGGTTCGTCCCCAAATCGTTAAAACTTCACTTTTAACTTGTCTTTCTTTAGAAACTTCTGATTTGGCCAATGACTTAAAATGGGTTTCCGTTACGTCAATTTCTAACAACGAATGTAAATTAACTTATGGAAACCAAATCACGGATAGAATGGTTTGTGTAGCAGGAAATTACAACGAAGGACCTTGCATTGTGAGCTTATTTAAAAACAAAACTAATAAATTTTAATTTTATAAAAATAGGGCGACAGTGGAGGCGCAATAATCCATGTAGTAAGTCGAGGACAAATGGTTCTTACTGGAGTTTCAAGTTTTGTAAGTGGAAATGGGTGCGAAAGCACTGATCCTTCAGGCTATACAAGAGTTTATCCTTATCTCAACTGGATTCAAAATGTAACACAATCATAATTAACGAAATAAATTGATTTAAAACTAATTCTTTTATCACAAATTCTTCTTCGGGGATTAAAAGGGGTTTACACGTGCATTAACGGTGCAAAAAATTCCAAAACCGATAAGATAAAGTAATAAAACAAGCAATAAACCAGCGATCTAAATAATCGTCCATCATGAAGCTTCATTTTCTAGTTTTCTTTTATTTGATCAATTTAATTAATAGTTCTTCCATCAAATTTGGCCCAAATCCTGGTGAGAAAACAAAACATAAAATCAAACTCCTTTTTAGTGTGTTTTAGGGCTTCGTATTATTGGAGGAGATATTGCGAGAGCTAGTCAGTTTCCATTTTCAGCAGCAATTCTTTCCAATTACCCAACTGGGTCTTTTTTCTGTGGCGGGGCTCTGATTAGTAACCAATGGATTTTAACAGGAGCACAGTGCATTATAAAGTGAGTAAATACGAAAATCTCTTAAAACGTTCCCTAAAATAAGTGTTACAGTGCTACACAACTTACCATTTATCTAGGCTCTAATAAAATAGATGGAAATGATCCTAATCGTGTTACAGTAGCAACTTCTACTTATATAACACATCCCGGGTTTAATCCTGATACTTTAGAAAATGATATTGGGCTCGTCAGGTTGCGATTGCCTGTTGAATTTAATGGTATGTACAATGTTGTAGAAAGTTATTTATTTTTTTTTATTTTCTTAGAATATGTATCAGCCATAAATTTGCCTTTACTCGGACTTGAAAAAGAAGCTGTTGTTACAGCAATTGGATGGGGCCAAGAAAGTGACCGTCAGTAGCACAAACCAAATTAATTTCAGTTTTAATTTTAAAATTGATTTATAGACAATCCTGGTCTTGTAAGTAATCTACACTTTGTAGAACAAGTCACAATTTCGAACGAAGAATGTAAGCAACTTTATGGTAGTCAAATTGTGGATAGTATGGTGTGTGTTGTTGGGCAAGATACTGAAGGGATTTGTACTGTACGTTTGCAGGTTATTTGTAAATGAAAAAGATAATGGCTGGATTTCAGGGTGATAGTGGTGGTCCATTGGTGGCATACAGAAATGAGCGATCGGCGGTGCACGTTGCCATTGCTTCTTTTCACAGTAGCACTGGATGCGAAAGTGTTTATCCATCTGGATATACTAGAACTTACCCATATCTGGACTGGATCACAAATGTTACAGAAATCACACTTTAATTTTTAGTATTCAATAATAAAAATTTCATAACACATTTAAATTTGTTTTATTTATAATGGAATAATACTAATCAAATGAATATTAGGAGTAGTTAGTTAAGTATTTCATTTTATTACCTTTTTTATAATAAAATTTTCTTCACTTATTTTAAGTTTTTCAGCAACAAGCTCAATTGAAAAATACAATTCCACATAATTAACTTCATTTTTGAATAATCACAAAGTAACTTTTATGTATTTACGATATCATTTTTTGTTTTTCTCTCTTCAAACAACCATAATATGAAATTTTACTAAAACCAAATTTGATTTTCAAGTCAAATGTGTATAAATAATTAATTTGAAACATTACATCGGACTGCAATTAACATTTAATAAGCCGTTTCCTTTAAAATTTTTAAAACTAGAAACTCAAATAGAATTTTTAAGCAAAATGATCCCTAATTGGAAACCACTTAATATAGTGATGAAAGATTTATTTTTTAAGTATTCGATAATAACTTTTTCAAAGCTACGACTTAAAAAATAACTGAAGGATTTTAAATTTTTAATTGAGTGATTTCTTTGAAAAATGATTTGAAAAATATAAAAGAAAAGTGTTTCCTCTGATGTTACATTAGTAGTCACATTTACTACACGAACACAGTAAAATTTTATCTCAAAATGAGTCTTAATGAAGATAAAAGAAATTACTTTCAAATGTGTCTAACATGTTATAATTTGAGTGGCTTGCGACCATCGAGTAAATTGTTTCTGAAAATTATATCTCAGTATATTTTGTATCCCTTAAAATTAGTTTTGTTTGTAATGATGATTTACAACATCCGTTTCAAGCATAATAATATCACAGAAATTACCGAAGTATTTATTGCAGTCTGCACTTTTGCATACGTAAAATATCTCAAGCATAATTTCAAATACCTTATCTGTTCTTTCCAGATAATTCTTCGAAAAACTATTTTAATAAAAAATAGTTATCTATATGAAGATTTAATAGAAGAACAGTCTCGTTTCTGGAAATATGATCTTTTTGGAAAGTTAACTGAGTCAAAACTTCGTAAAAATATGCAATTTTGCGAGTCTTTAATCAAACTTATCGTCATAAGTGGATGTATTTCAGCAACAGTACATAGTATTTCTCCACTTTTTGTGAAAGATCTTGAATTGCCACAAGCTTGTTGGATTCCTGGGAAAAATCCAATTGCTAAAAACATTATTTATGTTCTAGAAAGCGTTATTCATGTAGAATGCTTAAATTATGTAGCAGTTTTTGACGGTTTGTATTTGCTAACGACCGCAAATCTCAAAGTGCAATTTGTGTTATTACAAAAAGCGATTGAATGTATTACACTTAAAAATGGGGAAGAGAAAACTTCCTGGACGCAGTTGAAACAGTGTAGCCAGTATCACAGATATTTGCTAAGGTAAAACTCACAAAATCTCACATAACATACTTAAAATCTTTCTTTTTTTTTAGTATACATCGAAAAATTAACAAAATTTACTCCGAATACTTTCTCTGTTCTTATATCCTCACAATTTGGGGCACTTGCATACCGTTGTTTGTAATTTTTAATAAGTAAGAAACTTAAATAACATTTTTTTTTTTGTTTTATAATTATTTTAGTTCATCAAATGTTGCCGAAGTTGTCGAAAGCATGTTCATCGCTTTTTTAATAAATACGTTGCTTGTGATGATGTTTATTCCAGCTAGTGAAATAGAAATTGAGGTAAATTTTACAAGAAATAACTGAAGCAAAACACAGTTTTTTCAGGCTGAAAAACTAGCGTTGCAAATTTATTTTATAAATTGGTACGAGACCAAAAATTTAAAAATTCGGAAGTTCATTCTTTTTTGGCTAATGCAAGCCCAGGTTCCCGTACGGATGACAGGAGGTGGAATGTTGATAATAAATAGGTCTTTGATGCTTCAAGTAAATTTAAATTTTTCAATAAACACTTTCTATAAAATAATTTCAGATTCAGCGAATCGGATTTTCTTTAACGACTTTGTTAACAGGTCTTACGACGTAGATTTTTAAATATGAAACTAATTTCACCGTAACTCTTTGTATTGAAAACACCTAAGATAACTTGTGTGAGTTAGCACTATTTAAATTATTTTTACTTTTCGAAAATAAAAAAAAGTTTGATTCTTATGACTTTTTGTTTAATCATTATTGGTTTTGCACCATGTAATGAGTCAATAAAAAATATTTTTTGATAATAAAAAATGTATTTCTGATAATCAAACGAACAATACAATATATATTCTCCAAAAATTCACAAAAAAAATCATCAATCATTCAATGACTAGCACATTCTCCTTAGTAATGCTAGAATTACAGAAAAATATAAAAAATAAAATCCGTTTAAATAACGTAATTAGGAGCAGAAATAAAATGTAAACTATTGGAAATTTGACTATTGAAATTAACCGAAAATCCTAAAGAAGTCGGATCCTTTCTAATTCCTCCAAACATAACCAATTCCGATTTTCCTGCGAGCAAAGTATATAAAATCGTTTCTTCAGGACCATTGCCCAAATTCTTAGGTGGTAGCCATGTTACAAACGGTTTCAAACTTAAAGCTTTCGATAGATCTAAAACGTAAATTCCTAAATAGTGATTTCTATTTTTCTCTTCTTTTTTATATTTCTTCATATTTTCTTTAATTTCTGACAAGCGTGCAAGACGTTGCTCCCGTATTCTGTCCGATTTCGACATTTTGTTGTTCGGAACGCTAAATGCTGCTAAATTGTTTATGGGAGGTGACCAATTGTTAATCTAAAATAAGTCAAAATCGTTACAACAAATTACAAAATTGTCAACCATTGTACTAAAATATCTCCACGTTGGTTGTTTGAACAGCCAGGCTGCTGGTAAACGTCGTCGTCATCGTCGGCTTCTCTTTTTTGGTTTCTTAAAACTCCACGTCTTCCGTTGACGTTCTCATCTCTGTCTGGTTCACGACTAGCTAAATCTATCCGAGCTAATTTACTATCTTCTTGAGGGCTTCGACGATTCGCCCAATTCTTCGGGTAATACACTACTGGGCAAGTTTGGTCTTCGCGAATCCGATTAAGCATCACGATTTTGTCTCCTATCTGCAAAAAAATTACAACGATTTGCACGAAATGAAAAAACGTTATTTCTTTTTAGTGAAATTTTGGTAGTCATTATCCAATCGGCCAAATCGAAATTTTTAGTTTTGAAAGTATAAAAACAGAACTATTATTGCGAATATTCAAAACGGAAATACAAAAATTAAATAATAAATAAACATCCTTCTCTACAAAAATACTTAACATTGGAACTGATTCCAACATTGTCGATTTCCGCAAATAATACGAAGGTAAATTTTATTTTTATTTTGTTAACCGCATTCTCCTTGAATAAAAGCAGAATTTTTCACTAAATCTATGTTAAAAACAAAAATTCCAACTTAATGCATTTATTTTTTTCTCAAAAACTTTAATTATTTTCACAAAAAATTCACATTATTCTTCGTCTTCGTAATCGGCTGGATTTTTTCTTTGCAACTGTTCATGTCGTCTTTCGACCTGATCGTAAAGAATTATTCCAGAGAGTAAAGGAAAACCCACGTAAAAAAATTCTTCCTGAACACGTCTGATCATTTTCGGAACACCCGAAGAAAAAAATCCATGAAACGGTTTCAACTCAAACGGAGATAAACGATAGGTGACGATATGTCGCATTTTGTATAAATAACCAAATTCAGGATGATGCATTTTGATAGATTTTTAGTTCTTTAAAAAGCGAACTCAGTTTTGAGTTTGACAAATTTGACAAATGACACGTTAAAAATACACAATCTTGATTATAATGTAACTCAAAGTATGTTAATCTTTTGGTGCAATAAATTTAATTTCTTATCAAATGATTAATTAATTACCTTGCACCCGGGGTTGGTCCAGATATTGTTAGGCTTGTTTGCTTTCCCTTCAATATCCACCTGCTTCCACTTCCACACCGCTCCCTCCATGTTCAAAATCCACGCATCATAGTAATTCAAAGTGGGCCCACCTGAGCCCCCTATTATTAATAAATTTTTATTATCTAAAACAACTTGAGTTTGACCCAATCTGCCATTTGGTCGTGGTTCGCCTTCAACTTCTTGTCTATACCACGTCCACGTTTCTAAATTTAGTTTCCAAATGTCGTTGGATTTTTCACAATGAACGGCAGTGCTAGGTTTATGAATACCGCCGAAAACGATCATCCATTCACCCACAACTGATACGGAATGACCGGCGGTGGGAGGCGGCGTGTTGGTGGTGTTGACACAAGTCCAGCGATTCGCCGTAATGTCGTAGATGTGCAGCTCGTTGAAGAGATGCCAGCTTTGGTATAGAGGGTATGAAGGTGGATAGGCCCATCCCCCAAATAATACTAATTTGAGTTATATTTTTTTTGCAAGAAATAAATGTGAATTACCTAAAAGGTCCTTGTAACAGACTAGAGAGCTACAAGCTTTGGGCGATGGGTACGTGCCCATGGCTAGAGGCCGCACCCATTGCCGTTTGGACAGATCTAGCCTCCACAGATCGTTAAAAGTGGTCATGGAGCAGGTGCAGCCCCCAAAAACATACATCGAGTTTTCATGAATCGCAGCTGTATGGGAGTAACGCTTTGATATCGTGGGGGCCATCTCTACAGGAGTAAGCGTGTACCATCTTATATCAAAATCAACAATGGCCTTATGTAAATTCCTCAATTTGGTTTTGGCAACATCTACACAACAGAAAATATGAGTCTATATTTAGTACCATGAATTGACAGAAATTTACATACTTAAAACACATCTTCTCCATCTTTTTGAAACTTGCATACAATCGTGAAGGTCTTTATAGGGTGGAATTAGAGATAAAATAAATTCCAAAACTTCATCTGGGAGGTCTTCAATTTGAGCCGATGTTTTCACTACAGACATTTTATAAAACACTTCAATTTTAACACTAGCAGGAACATAAAACAATCAACTATTCTCTTCGGAGGTTCTGCTAGAAAATAAAAATAAACCCGAAAATTCCAAGTTTTTGTTGATATTTTCGTATAATGTCATCGAAACATTGACATTTGTTGTCCAACCTAACAAATAGAAAATTACTGCAATAATTATTTAGCTTATTTTAACGCAGTTTCAATTAATTTCCATAAATATACCTACAAGCCTTGATTCTAATTTCAATCTTTTAACATATTTTATCTATTTATCTAAGCGATGAAACTAGAAGTTAAGTTAAATTTGGAATAAAAAACCCTAGACGCGCCTCCGTTGATCAGTTCGTGAGTGACTTCGGCAGTGCCGGGATTTTTAATTTACTGTCATTTTGAAATAATTTTTAATCAACTTTTACAATGCTTTACAACAATTATACCTTAAAACTGAAATTATAATATAATGTAGTTAGTCGTATCGTTTAAGTATTAAAATAAACCGGATCGTGTCGATTCTAACCTAATTTTTGCTGTTACAACCTAAACTCTAGTCAAATAAATGTTTTAAAATGTCTTTAATAACACATTTGGGACCTGTGAGTGCGCATCTAAACAAATTGAAACTAATTATACCCAAACAGTTTACCCTGTCCACCACACAAAAGGTAAATTCTATTTTCTCCAAACTAAAATAATTTCTATATTGGGGTGTATTTTTCCTAGGTCATAGTTGTCTCCGTTACCGCGAGCATTGCTGTGGTTGGTGTTCTAGCACGATATTTAAGAAGAAAGAAGCGGACGGTAGATTTATCTGCATTCAAACGATCTTATCCTAAACGTTCAAGAATTTCAGGAATGAGGAGTCCTAATGGAGGTTGGTTGATCGATTGTAATTTGCAATCGTTTTTGCATTTTTCTAATTATTTATTGTTTCTGTCAGATGTGCAAAATAATGATTCGTTTTGTCGAAATATCTGTTTTTATTTGGCGCCAATTTGTAAAACTAAATTTGAAATAAAGATGGCGCGAATATTAGTTACCGCAATGTTGGTTGCCTATAAGAGAAATGGTTTACTTGGCGTAAATTAATTGATTCAAGCCCAGAAAAAAATTAAATATTGTTTTTTAACGTTCTGACCTATTCTTTTTATGATTCATAAATTTTAAAATCATGTTCTTGTTTTGCTTTTTTATGATGTTTTCAAAATTGATTATTTTACAGAATTCTTGTAGGATTTCTGTCACTTTTATTTTTTATGATTGTAGTGTTTCATTACATTAAAATTAAAATTTATTGGTTACTTGCAGATTTACGATATGCTCACCCAACTTTTGCTTATTAACATGTATTATTTCTACATAGAAATATATGTTACGTACCATATGTTGTATAAAGACCTTGCTTACAAATAATGTTTGTCTGATTAAAAAATATTTATTTTCATTATAGTAAGCCAATTATGTGGTAGCATAAATTCGATTCTCTAGGAGCATTGGTTTAATACACATCAATAAATAAAATGACACGGCGTAATCAGGGTTAATTTTTCTCATAATAAAGCTATTATCATTTTTATTACGACAGAACTTATATTAAAAAACTCATTATGACAATAAGGATTAGTAAATAACCAAGTACTTGTTTATTAAATATTGTAAAATGTTGACTTTTTATGTTTAAATGAAACACAAACAAAATTTTCTTTTTTATCATTACTCATTTTACACCAAATTGAGAAAAAAATTACACTTGCAGAATTGCTATAAGGGATTAATAAATAGATCTTTTAAATGTTATTTCTATTTATTATTTTCACAAAAAGAAAAAAGAAAACACTGCACTGCAATTACAATGACACACCAAAGTAAAATTATTTGATAATAATTCCAGTTCAAATTTATTTCTGTATTTATCACAAGATTTATTTTCTTATTCGATTTATGTTCGTTTGGAAATTCCTCACTGCACATTTTTACTGCTCCATCAAAGCTGAATTTGATTTGGTTTCAGGCACAATCCTGAATTATTGTTTTTTTTTTGAAATTTTATAATAATAATCAGAATATATTTAATTGTGTATTTCTATTTCTGAATAATTTATTTGTTATAGAGTTTGAAAACACTCAGTTAATCGTACAAAATGCAAATTAATCAAGTATGACGGTGCCTGAAGCTGAATTTTCCTGTGGAATATATTTGTTTCAGTTCTAAGGGCCATAACCTTCCATAGATGTATGATACGAATAAAATTATTGTTATCAAAATGCCTTTGGGTGAGATTGTAAGCGGGTATAATAAAGCTGTAATAAATTATAGTTTAGAGAAAAATAATAAACGATGTTGTATAGTTTTACTTTATATTTTATGCCAACTTTATTCAAGTACTTCCTGTAAGGTTTGTCATAAATTCAGAAATGATGCACATTTTAACAGACATTTGTGCAGTAATTAGTTTGTGGTAACAGCGGTTACGTAAATGAGTTTAATTGCATCATCTTGATTTCAGTGACTACTCATAAATGGTGGAAGCGTTAGTTTAATTTTTAGTATCACTGAATTTTGAATTATCTTTTTTTTTAATAGTGTCCACAAAAAGTTTCATCAGGATGAAGTTTATTAATTCTTAATTAGATTAGATAAATTTAATTCCTAGATTTAAAGAAATTTATTTCTTTTCTGAAAATTAAAAATTTCGCCCTCCCTTTTACAAGCTCTGTGTGTTCTGCAAACTCTTTTATCTCGTTTTCAGTTAAACTAATTTTATTTTGATCAGGGTTTGGGTTTGGTTGTGCTTTTTTTATTTAATCTTGATGGAAATAATTCAAAATATTTGCTTGTAGTTATTTTTAAACCGCAAGACCGAATCATTATCTAACATACTTACTTTTGATGGTGTGGTACTTCTGGTAGATTTGCTGAATATTCTTTAGATATTTTCTGTTTTTTAACAGTTTTGATTTTAAATACTTACTGAAGAAAAGCATAGGTATAGACAAAAAAATTAGATTTTTTATTTATTTTTTTTGATGAGAGTTTTTAGAATTGTTTTGCTTAAAACATAAAAAATCCAAGTTTTTGTTAAAATTAAAAAAATCGTAACAATTATTCATTTGATCTAAAATTGAAACCAACAAAACATTTGTTAACACTCTTTGTGTTCATTCAGACAATTCTTTTACAATTCATCTTAGAAACACTCAATTCAGTACCTTTCTATCCAATCAGCTATTTCAACAAAATCAATGAAAACAAACAAACTAAAGATTGTTTTTTGTGTTACATGTGCTAAAAGCAAATTAGTCCAATTCGCATTCTTAGGATCTTAGATAAATACTATCTATTTTTGGGTAATTAGTACAAAAGCTTTGACATAATTCTTTCGAGAACAGTAACCAAGAGATACCTATAAGTTAATTAAGTCTCCTCCATCAAATGATTTCAGCAGACCTAAATTTCATTAGTAAATGGCACAAGCGGAATACTCTCCGTAAGCGCCTTATTAATATTTCTCAATTTGCGAACCCACATATTATCACACAAAAAATTACGATCTTGTAAAAGAAGACCAAGTCTAGAGAGACTATTGATATTTTTGACAATATCTGCTACATTGATGATCAACGTAAAAGTCGTTTCAATTTACGATATGAAGAGATGAAAATTTGTGCGAGATTGCACCCTACGGTTAGATGGAACGCGTGTCTGGGAAATTATCGCCCGATTATGAGATTAACGGGGGTTATTTGTGTCGAAAGGACCACTTTTTAATGCATAATGGTCAACAAAAAGGATTCGGGGGCTTAACAGAGAGGGAAATTGTGTCTGAATCTATTTGTTGACGCAAAAACGCATATAATTACATTGTTTTGATTACGTTCATAATTAGAAATTGGAAGATTTTTTTATTTTATTTATCTTATGAAATCAAATCCCAGCTATTTATGTCAAGAGTTCTGGAAAATTTTCCAGTTTCAATTAGGGGATATGCGGGCAAAACGGGGTAGGTGCCTAAAACGGGGTACCATGTTTTTTTTCTATACCACTAGCTTTATCTACCCAACGTTTTCAAAATTATATTACACACGCGGGCATACGATCTTTGTCATAAAGCAGAAATCTGTAGTTGTTAGCCGATCGTTGTAGTTAGCACATGTGCCTTTTTAGTAAACACAGTTTCAATATCGCCGGAGAATAAATTCATCGTAAGTAGGACTAAAACAATTTATTATTAAAAAATATTATTGCCAACTAAAAGTGCGTGTTTTCTAAAGATTTTCTTTGTTATTGTGTTAAAAAAATTACTTCTAATAAAATAAATACGTCATAATCTAAAAGTCTTCGCATTTGGGCAAAATGGGGTACCAGCAGGTACGGTAAAACGGGGTACCCCATTTTGCCCTATTTTTATACAACTTTCCAGTAAATATTTTTGGTTTTGTCTCTACATAGATGGTGTCTAAGTACAAAAGAAAGAGATACTCCAGGTTATTCCGTTTCAAAAGTTTTGGGCAGTAAAAGGCCCGTTTTTACTACCCAACAAGAACAAGAACTTGTTAATTATCTTAAAGATATGGAAGCGAGATTATTTGGACTGACTATTACAGAATGCAGGCAACTTGCCTTTCAACTTGCTGAACAAAATCGGATTGAATACCCCTTTAACAAAAATCTTAAAATGGCTGGAACGGGATGGATACGGMTTTTTTTTAATAGACATAAAGACTTGACCATCAGAAAGCCCGAGGCTACGTCAGGTGCCCGTGCAATGGGCTTTAACAAGGTGGCTGTACAACAGTTCTTTAAACTGTTAGAAGAAACTGTCAATGAGATTTTTCCAGTTTAGACATATTACCCCATTTTGCCCTATGCGACGGGCATAATGGGGCAAATTGCATTACTATTTTTTTTATTCAATATAAAATAAATGTTTTGTTTTTTATAAGTTAAAATGTTAGTAATAAATAATTAATACTGTAACAATAATATTGCCTCATTTACAGACTCTCATAGTTTTAAGTTTTTTTAAAATTCGACTTCAAACATTAAGTACCCCATTTTGCCCGCCTCTCCCCTAACTTTAGTAGCGATTTTCCTTCGCTAAAAATCACCCAAACTCTGTAATTTTTCCCTACATGGCTACCAAAGTATAATCTTTTAAACTGAAATTTCAAAAGCTTTTGAAAAAAATGTAATTAAACGTTAGAAAGAAAATCTAGCACTCTGTTGCACCTTGTATACGAAAAATTATAAGATTATGAGTAGATATTTTGATATATCCACTTAAAAATATCTCTTTGTCATCTTAACAATAAGGCTTCCTATAAGTTGTCTCTGATATCAACAGTGTGTGACGCAGATCGATGATACTTTCATGAAACTGATTAAATGGGAAAATACAAATGCAATAATTGCAAAATGCCAGTCTTGCAGGTTATTTATAGAATACTACTAAATTCTACAAAAGTCTACGATGTGGAATTGGATCGGGTAACATAATCCCTATTCAGTTTTGTTCGCAGGAATTGGCTTTTAAACAATTTCACTCAGTGTAGCATTTGGTCCAGTAATTAAATATCGTGGGCACTTGTTGAAACTTTCCCTTCTTTAATCGTTTTAATTCAAGTTTGAATGTTGGCAGTTCTGGAATTGTTTGAATTATTGCCATTTCAATGGGATGACAGGAACGCAATTCAGTCAAGGTTAATTAAGCTCAAGGCCACATAGTAATTGAGGCCTTATCAAAATGGGGCGACAATGAAATTTCAACTTGATGGTGTCACTTGTTAATTAGCCAAACCTCGACGTGATTGCTAATTAAAAAAAAATCGGTGAACCCCCGCGATGCTAATAATTTGTAATTAATGTAAGGGAAATAAGCGCAAGCTCGAGCTTGAGTGCTTCCGGGATATTGTTGCGAATTTATGTGCAATTATGTAATAAACCGAACGCTATCATAACGACTAAATTATATCAAAGATAAAATTTAAATACTTGTCTAGATGCAAACATTTATTATGTCTTGGACTGTATGAAAGATAAATGATGTTATTATTTTTTTATGACAAGGTCTTATTCATTAGCCTAAAATGAAATGTTGTTTGGGTGTGGAGTTGTGCAGAATTTTGCGATGGTTTTGTATTGCTGGTCAACAATTTGGTTTTATATGTGGCATAAATGACTAGTGTACGTGCCTAATGGATTTCTCTTATTTTAGCTCTATTTGAGCTGGACCTAATTTTGCACAAAACCGGTGTACGTAAAATATATTTCATTCTGTTTAATGTTAATGTTAAAAAAATTCAATTTTAAATAAAATACAGTAATCTTCTTTTTTGCCTCCTCTTTTCAAGTAAGAAAAATTTATCTTACCACATGGGGTTAGTAAAAAGCTATGCATTATTTAAAATTTATTTATTTTTTTTTGCATTAACTGTTATTATTTCATTTTAAGAGAAAAGTACACTTTTATTGATTTCTGTTCTATTATAATTTCAGTGAAAAGGTTAATAAACGACTTTGCAATCAAATATAGTTTACCTATACTTTCTTTTCTTTTCTTAAGAAAATACAAACAGTTCAATTTTTGCAGTCACAAGTAGGAAAACATCTCATTCATTATTCTGCACCCACTGTTCTCCTGACCTTCCTTCACACGATTCCTTTTTAAGGATACAATTAAAAAGTCAAGTCTATAAACATAAACTCGATACCTTAAATCGAACTGAAACAGGAAACTCATGCTATAACACACTACTTGTATGATTGCGTAAATTAATTTGTTAATTTAGAAGCCGACATGATTATATGTTTAGAACGCAAACCATCTCTGTTTTGGATACTATAATAATTATAGTTTAGACTTAAAATGTGTGTGTTTTTTTAATGAATTTTATATTAAAAATTGTCTGCTTTGTTGGGGAATTAATTTATTAATTTAACTATTTATTGGAGTAGTGAATAATTGGGTTAGCTAATCTAACGTCACGCATAATTTAATGAGGAATAATAACAACTAAGTGGAACATGCAGCTAATGTTGGTTTTTCAGGATATAATGATTGTGATACAGTGTTTCATCTAATCATGGTCACGTTTGAACACTATTAACATTTAAATACCACGTTGCAGTCATTATTTTTCCTTGTTTGATAATTAATTTTTTTTGATTTTTACAACAATTTTTGAAATGTTTTAATGTGATTTTTTGGCACAGCGTTTCAATATTATTCACCCTCCACTTTCTCGTTGCCATTATTCAATTAAAATTAGCAAAATTTAGTTATATTTCATGCCCATTAAAATTGCAAACTCAATAATTTGGCGTCAAAATTATTCATCACTCATTACGTCTAATACGTGGATTTATCTGTGTCAGTGTTTGCAATCACCGAAAGATAAGAGTACATTTACAACATTCATTAAAAGTTCTTGCTTGAAACGAATATTGGCATGAAAATATTTAGCTTAAAAACGCCTCCCTCAGGGTTATTAAAGGAGATTCGTGCAAGACACGCATTAGACTTCAAATATGCCAAATTTATTTTTAAATTTGTCTGACTGGCAAACTTGTAATGAAATCTCATATCATGTAATATAACCATATTATAAATGTCATGCTTTCAGTGAGTTAAGCTAAGTGGCAACTCTTGGTAGGTATTCTAGTATTACATCCTATTTCCACGCAATAAGGTCAAAAGTTCGCAAAGTTCGAAACTATTTGTCTAAAAATTTAATTCTAACATGCAGTTATGCTATTACAAAGTTATCGTATTTCATAAGCGAATTTGAAATTAATTTTCAAAGGTTTCAGTCACGCTATCGACGTCCATCCATTTACACACAAGTTTGTTCGTTGATTAATTCTGATGAATATTACATTGTTGGTAGCTAACAAGTCGAAAGTAGGTGATATTTATACGTCAACTTTTCTGAGTCAATTATTGGACATTTTCTTCATTTCAAAAAAAATTAGAAACTGCCATGGAACCAATTTTTAATATCTAGTAATTGTAATGATTTCATTGGAGGAGAAAAATAAATTAAGAATCAAATTTGTGGAATGTAGACATTTTTTACGCACTCAGAATCTTGGAATAGCGACCGAAGATCTTTTTTTATTATTAGCTTATTTTTAGCTTCAGCAGTTGTAGAAATTATTTCGTATTTCTACTGCTATATAATTACAGAGACTTTTCGTGATATCCGAGACAGAAATCCTTAAAGCTTCATCTTTGAAAATTATTACCTCTTTCATCTCTAGGGATCCATTTCATAAACGCAAAGACGTCCTTTTAAACTTTAAACTCGAACAAGAATTGCAATTCACCGTTCTATTATTATTTACGAGTTATTACACTGGTTCAGCGTCGACGAATGAATTTACAAGTGAACATGTAGCAGTTTCATTTTTGCATTTTACTTGTTATTTTTACGTGAACAGTATGGTATAATAGATTATTGAGTGGTATAGGATGCAGTTTATCGGTATGAGGGGACATATTTGCGACAATTTGCCTGTGTAAATGACATTAATCTTCTATGTGGATAAACGGGGAACTGTTTGTACAACTATTGGAGATAATCTCGTAATTCGGGTGCTATATTAAGGGTCCTTTGGACACATTTACTGGAAGCAAACATTGCAGTATATCTAAATCGTAATTTTAACCAGATATGGATAGTTGGGATTCATACTAAGGTCAGGGAAGGTTTAGATATGGTATTTGGTGGGATTTCTTTTAAAAGGTTACTAGGTCGATTTGAATACTTTGATTTGGTACGAAAAAGCCAGCAGTTATTTACGGAAATGGGATTGGTACAAGATTTTCTTTTCTCAAATATGATTTATTTAGTCTTCAAGCGATTTCAATCAACAAAATTGCACCAAAATAAGAATCAAGACTAATAAGCTTGTTTGTCTTCTTTAATGTATTTTTTTTTTTGTATTTTATTTATTATGTAAGGATCTCAAGGTGTAGACAAAAATGCAACTATCTTTACTATTTGTGATTTCAAGTGCCATTGCAATGTTGACACTATTTTTTCTCCAGTTTATTTTTTAAATTACAGTAATTTTTTCGTATTTAATCATTTTTTATGAAAAATTTGCAAGCCTTGAGGCTCTTACTGTCATTAAAATTGTAATAAATAGAAAAATGTCTCACGATAAATAGTTAAATATTTATGACTATGTCCATATGAAAATAATAAAAACAGAATTAAACGTGTTTTAATAATTCAAATATTTTGCAACTTGTTGCTTCCGGTCTTTAATCCGGAATAATTTTGAATGCACACATAGACACGGGTAAAGATTAACGTCATTTCCGCTAGATTCTATCCATTTTCCGGTGCAAATTTCGTAGTTAGGAAAATATCTTTGCTCAGGCTTGTAAAAGAGTTTTGAAACACTCTTTAAAGATATAGCAATATACTAGGTCGCTAAAAATTATGGATACAGCTAAATATTTTCAGAACGGTTTAGCAGAGCACGTTGAAATTTGGTAAAAAACCTATTTTTTGGTCAAAGTTCAGGCGGTAAAGAGCTAGCGATAGATAAAGACAACATTTCCAAAGCTAAAAGAAATTTACATTTTTCAAAATTTTATTAGTTCGTTTTTTTTTTAATATGATATGTATATGTTACAACACAGAACTCAAAAAAAAATGCTTTTCGTAAAAATATTATTTTTGACCCTTCTTGACATTAAAAAAATTCAAGTTAGCTTTGTATCCCCAAAACAAATGGAGATAAAAGTTTGATAAACATCTGAAGCGATGAAATTTAAATACTTTTACGCATATACCAAATTTCAATAAGTTTTGATGAACAGCTTTTATAATATTTAACTGTATCCATACTTTTTAGCGACCCTGTATAGTTTTTGTTGAGCTATTGATGTTCCACTGAGAGTAGTAATTTAGATCTAGACCGGTAACATTAGTCCCAAGACACTATTTAATTAACACCGTTTTGTATTTGCTACGGGGCGATCTGTTAAACAACGGATTCTTTCAATATGGACCTAACAAGTATGTTTGTCGCAATAAATAGTTATTTGAAAAAAAATCATTTAATTTTTCGTTACACACTTTTGCAGCTTGTCAGTTGATTTTTTCCCTGTAGTTAAGTCAACTTGTTCACATCCTATATTTTTGTCGATGTAGTTGATAACGACCATAATTCTTTCACTCGTTCCCCAGGCGAACTAAATTGCCTCATATTAAACTCCTTCTAATCCGTATCTCTCCATCGATTCCAGTGTTGATAGATTTATCGACTTTGTTTCAGATGTAATAAGTCAAGCGAGTAGTGGACGACGAAGTGCAGCTTACAGCAATGTCTACGGAGACAGACTTACAAGACAGGGATCGACCATCAACAGTGAAAGGGGTTCCGTGGCCTCCGGGAGTCTCACTAGTGGCGGTTTAGTGGCTCCCGACCAGACCAACACGTCGCAATTAACACCGCAACAGATCGGCGTCATGGGTAAGTTCTTTTTGCGTGGAAAATGTTACAGCCAAGGTGCTATTACCGCAATTTCTTGAACAAATTGCAGGATGGAGCTTTCTCTTGCATAGTAGAGCGGTAATTTCTGGTCTTATTGTTCTGGAGATTTTTTTTATATTTAATAGACAGAATGCGATGGATTATGCGTTGAAGCTCACTGCAGGAGTGATACTTTCCTCTAGATCTTAAATTAATATGTTACTACATAACTTAGTACCGGGTAATCGCCATTTAAGAAATTTCTCATCGTAAATGCAGCGTGCAACTTAGACTGTATTTATTACGATGAAATTCTCATCATAGCTGACAGACACCAACTTCCTGTATGATTAAAAATTAAATCGCAATTACTTATAAATACTTGATAATTAAATTCCGGATAGGTATCCAAACTATGTATATCGAAATCTTTTTCCTTTAAATGAAGAGGTTTAGCTTCTTGACGAATTGTTTCACTTAACGAAAGCTGTGTATTTTTTTTGGGATGAGCTCAGGAATAAATTTAAAATGTTTCGTTTTAAAGCATTGGCGTGGAAGTAAGTCACGATGAAACAAACGTTTTTGTATAAATGTGAAAATGATTGATTAAATACTTTTTTTCGTGTCGAATTTTTAGGCCATGCATAATTTGGGGATGCTCATTCAAAACTCATAATAGCATTCGAAAGAAGAAGTTTTAAAACACAAGTTTTACTAGCAATTTTTTATTATTATTAGTATCTTGAAGCAAATCTATAGTCGCTAAGCTGGAGGTGGTCTCGTCTTTTTATATGTAGATAATCGTGGAAGTATACAATGGTAGACTCTTTAACAAAACAGTTAAGATAAGTTTATTTTTTAAATATGTAGTTATGTTTTTCTCTGAAAAGGCCAAATCATGCAGTAAATTTGCAAAAATAGTTGCAAAACTGTCCATGTTGGTACTAAAAGTGTTCATGAAGTAGTCTTCGGCAGATCATTCTGAAAAATGTAGAATTTGACAGATGTGTAAAAAAAAGTAAAACTTTACACCATTTTTGTAATGAACGTCTAAAAAGTTGCCTTTTTGAGTTAGTTTCATTTGAATTTTTTTATTTATTTAATTAGAGAGGTTCGTTCCATTTGGTTCGATGATGGGTTGGAAAGCCCATTCTAGCCACAGTAGATATTTTCGTTTCTGTTGGGTTGCCACAGCCAATTATGCGTATAGAATTTCCAGTTGTGCATTAATCTAAGGTGACATTTTTATTACGAAATTTCATTCCACGTCCTAAAGAGTAATTTTTGAAGGTATTTCAGTTTGTAAATGCTTGTCTTGTGGTGACTCGTCAGGGCACGTTCTTGGCACACCATAATTAACTTTTACGACTAGGGTTTTTATTTTTTCCAATTAGCATAATCAACTTTTGGATGCTCGTAATCGATCAGGACGAGGCGGCAGGGCCGT